GTCTCATCGACATCTATTCCAAAAGAATTATTACTATATATATCATTATATATATATATATATATATATATATATATATATATATATATATATATATATATATATATTTAAATTATCTCCTGTAATAGTTTTCTGTTTTATCAATTTATCAAAAGAAGAAAAAAGCAGCTCGTTTTCCCTCGTTCTCTTGGATCTTCTCTGTCAAAATTGATCGAGAATATAAATACATCACGTAGTACTAGTTAGGAGTGGGCGTTCGGGCAGTTCGGATTGGATATGAAAATTTCGGTTTGGATTTTTTGTTTTCGAATTGAAGAAATGACAATCCAAACCCGTAAGTTCGGATTGGATCGGATTTTTTAAGTTCAGTTTCGGATTAATCGGTTTGGATATTATGGATTTTCGGTTTTGAGTGCATAAGTTGAGATGTTTCTACCTTTTACATATATGAATATCCAAATGAATACTCATGTTAATTAAATTGCCTAAAAAGTTCCTCATTCTTGCCGCAATCATCCAAATAAAGTATTCAAGTAATAAAATTATTATTAAAAAAATACAACAGAAACATTAAATACGGCCGATAAGAATAGTAATAGTAAAATCATGTCCAAATAGAAAGTATTTTGATAGTAACTTAGTAATTAATATTGAATATATGAGATAATATCTAATGGGTAGGGTATTAAACTTATAACTATTCACATATGGATAATGGACTAAAAATAAAGTAAAAAATTTCGGATTTTTGAATATCCAAAAATTTGGAGTACCAAATCCAATATCCAATCTGAAATCCAAAAATTTTAAAAATTAAATCCAAAATCCAATCCGTGATCTAAAAATCCAAAAAATTCGAATTTCAATTTGGATTACGGATTTACCCAAACTATGTGCACCCCTAGTCCCCTAGTACCAGTACTAGTACTAGTATTTTGTGAGCGAATTGTAGGCGGAAGTTCAGAAAATTAGTATAATAAACTTATTCCTCAGTAAAGAATCCAAAAGGGAACAATATCTTGATAATTCTTGGACCGTATTTTTCTTTATCGAAATACATACAAACTTTTCAGTTATATTTTATAAAAACATAAGTTAATGCAAATATGCTTTATATAATTTAATATTATTACTGCTATGCTAGTACTTGGGTGAGGGAGGGGGGGGGGGGGGGGTTTTGCTGTGCTTTTGAGAAGGCAGTTCCGTAGCTTTTGCTTTTTTAGTCAAGAGAGAGGTCTGGAAAAAAAGATGTGGAAGCCTTAGAGAGCTTTACAAAGAAAGAAAGAAAGGAAAAAAACCAACTCGCCATATTTCTTTCTACTATATTACTTCTTCCTTTCTCCTCTCTCTCTCACACACACACACAGCTATACACAGAGAAACCGTACGTCTTAATGCTCTACTTAAATTCATCAAAGGAAGTTAAAGGTAAGTAGTTTCCATTTATATGACATATATTTTGAGTCAAAATAGAGTTTAACAAAGAAATGAAATTTTAAAATTTTAATCTTAAATATACATAATATTTATATGACTATTAAAGTTTTAAAATTTGTAGTCTAAATATGCTATAACTTTTGTGTGACTTTAAATGCTTTCTCATTAAGGGTGTAAAGCAAAATTCAAGTTAAATTTTCTTAAAATATATAAACCTAATAAGTATTCTTATTTGTAATGAAGTAATATGGAAATAATATCACATAAACTAGAACGAAAGAGAGTAGTAAATATATTGGGATAGATAGGTATGAGGGTGCGTACCTTTTCCTTTATCCCTGCTGTTGTCTTCAGTTAAAGTTAGAAGGAATTTTGGTGTTTTGCTGGGGGTACTTAAAGCAAGTTTTATAGCTCCCCCGAAAAAAAAAAACCATAATACTTCTCTTCCTTTTTCTTCCATGTCTTTGTCCTCTCTTTTCTGTCCTTATTCATCATCTTAATTTCTCTCCCTCTTTCCCTTCTCCTATAATCTTCCTGTTGGCTTATTTTTAGGGTATGTGTCTTGGCTTGATTATTTTGTTTCAGATATTCATTTGCCTATTCATCTTTAAATTATGTTTTTCTTTCTTGAGTTTTTATGATTTTTGGGAGATATGGACTTTGGATTTCATTTTAGAGTTTCAGAACAGCACTTATTATTTATTTATTTTAAATTTTTTGGATTTTACTCCGCAGGAGCAGCTGATAGAATAAAGCTTGTCAAAGGGTATTGGTTGATATCAAAGGTGAAGTAATATCAAGGAATTCCTGAGGGAGGATTATATATATGGAAGATTTTAATTTAAGTTGATAGTTGTAAAAAGAATTTGTCATCTTTACAAAGGAAATAAAGAAGGTGGAAGCTATGAATAAGAGTAGTAGCAGTCATCAATTGGGATCCATAAGCAGTTGTGATCTCATTGATGCAAAGCTTGAGGAACATCAATTGTGTGGATCCAAACAGTGTCCTGGTTGTGGACAAAAGCTCGAAGGAAAGCCGGTACTGAATTTTACATTTCTTCTATATTCTTGGCTCTATATATCAAATAGATTATGGAAAACATGTTCTGTTTCAAAAAAAAAAATCATATGTGTGGTTTCGTTTTCTTTCTTGCAATTTTTCTGATTCTTTTTTTTTTTGGGTTTTCGTATGGAATTTTGTTTTTTTTGTTTATCAGCTAGTGTAATTTAATGGAGCTAAATTAGTGCAGGACTGGGTAGGTTTACCAGCAGGAGTGAAGTTTGATCCAACAGATCAAGAATTAATAGAACATCTTGAAGCAAAAGTAGTGTCTAAAAAAGAATCAAAATCTCACCCTTTGATTGATGAGTTCATCCCTACTATTGAAGGTGAAGATGGGATTTGCTACACTCATCCTGAGAAGCTTCCAGGTAGAAAGATGGGCATGCAATTACTTGTACTATAATTAAAAAGCTACTCCTTCCGTCCCAATTTATATGTCGGTGTTCGAATTTCGAGAGTATTAGTTTTATCATAATTTTTTCACGTCTTTCAAATATTTTAAATTATTGGTAATTTTAAATATATAATTTTTATTTTAAAAAATTTAAAAATTCTATATGCGAATTTATGATCAAAATTGAGAAGTTTGATTCTCGAAATCTGAACTGTGCCACATAAATTGGACGGTGGGAGTAGTAGGTTTTACTATATTGCTCTCTTTTCTGCTAAGACAGAAGAAGAATTTGAACGGATCCTAGCTAGCTAGGTTTTCTTTATGTTATTATCTTTAACTACTTGTTTTTTTTCTCACTGACCTTGAAGAAATCCAACTCTTTTAGTTTAATTTGTCGCACCTAAGTAAACCTAACTTTGAATTTGCATGAGCAGGCGTTACAAGGGATGGACTGAGTAGACATTTTTTCCACAGACCATCAAAAGCTTACACAACTGGGACAAGAAAAAGAAGAAAAATCCAAACAGAATGTGACTTACAAGGCGGAGAAACACGGTGGCATAAGACAGGCAAAACTCGGCCGGTGATGGTAAACGGCAAGCAAAAAGGATGCAAGAAAATTCTAGTACTGTACACAAACTTTGGGAAGAATAGAAAACCAGAAAAAACAAATTGGGTAATGCATCAATATCATTTAGGACAGAATGAAGAAGAAAGAGAAGGTGAACTTGTGGTGTCAAAGATATTCTATCAGACTCAGCCAAGGCAATGTAATACTAGTACTAGTTGGTCTAATAATCATGAGAGGAGTATTAGTACTGGGGATCATAGTGGCAGTGGGAGCTGTTATTCTTCTAAGGAAATGAATAATATTAATCCTAATTCTCATAGTCATAGGGATGAACTTTCTGCTGCTGTTGGTGCTGCCATGTCCAGTAATTACAATACTGTGAACGTTCAACAATTGAAAGCTGACCATTTTAGCTTTCTCCCATTTAGAAGAAATTTTGATGAGGTAATATTCTACTCCTATTTTTTTTGTTTTTATAAATCTATTCTCTGCCAGTATTTCTTCAGATGACCATTTGCTTTTTTTGTTCAGAATCATATAAAAAAATGTGGAACTAAATAAACTGAAAAGAGAATTTTTATAATCTGTCTGTGATTTTTTGCATATTGAACCAAACTATTGATATTCTTGTGCATGTACAGCCTTATATTGTCATTTTTATTTCCTTTTTCTCATTTGTACCTTTTTATTTTTCTTTTTCTTATCTCTGATTTATCATTTCATTTTCGCCGTGAGATACTTAAGACATTGCTAGTGTTTGGCACTAAGATTAGTTTTAAAAAAGGCAGCCCGGTGCATTAAGGTTCCGCTATGCGCGGGGTCCAGGGAAGGACCGGACCACAAGGGTCTGTTGTACGCAGTTTTACCCTGCATTTCTGCAAGAGACTATTTTCACGGCTCAAACCCGTGAACTCCTGGTCATAAGATTAGTCAGCTTCACCAAAATCCAAGTTCATCCATGACATTAATCAGTTTACACAAGCACATTGCTTAAAGTATCAGCATAATGAAAACTATACCAGACTTGCTTGGATAACAACAATCATCAAATGATTTTTATTATGTTAAATTACTTTATTATAAAAGAAGTACATTAAAGCATGAAATGATACTAAAATTTTACGTTAGGCGGCCTACTTCACACCTTCTCAGGGTGTGGCCCTTTTTCTGAACCTTGCGTGAACGTGGAATACTTTGTGTACTGAACTTTCCTTTTTCTTAAATTAAAGTATGAAATTTACTAGGAAACCCCCCCAAAAAAATGTACTACTCCTACGAATCTTTTTAAAAGACAATGTATAAATCAAAAATACTTGGTGCTAGCCAAATTAGTTAAATATTGAGAGATATTTTTTGCAGGCAGGGATTATGGATGCAGAGACTTCAATGGCAAGGAGAGATGACCAGGCAGCAGGCACGTGCGAAGAGCCTGAGTCCCAGAGGCAACATCCTTCGCATCACGTGACCCATGAACCTTCTCACCAACATCAACACCATCATCAGAATCAGAATGCAACAACTACAGCATTCAACAATATTAGCAGGCCATCACCTCCAATTTCAGCCATTATAGCCCCACCTCCTCCTCTACATCACACTTCCGCTATTCTTGACCACGATTCCTTCCATGTTCCCAGGAATTATAATTTTCAGGTAACTCAGCAACACAAATATACTTTTTCCCTTCCTAATGAACTATATATATTACTCTCGCTACCCCAATTTATATGAAAGTGTTCAGATTTCGAAAGTCAAACAAATTATTTTTTGACCATAATTTTTTCATATGTTTTTTAAATATTTCAGAATATTAATTATTTTAACTTATACTAGTGTTTTTACATTGTTTTCAAATATGTTAATCTTATTTTGAAAAACTGAATTTTTTTATCCAAATGCATGATCAAAATTAAAAAGCTAAAAAAGTCTAACAAAAAGGAGGTGGAGGTCTACATTAATGATGGTTTACATGTCAGCAAAAAGTAGGAAACACGAAATTATATTTTCCCTATAGGGGTTTTAATATCCATGTTTCTTGCAGACAATACATGACCACACATATGATTATGTTCAGGTTTTGTTCTAATTAGTGTATATTTCGGCAGCAACAACAGCAACACCATAAAGTACTAGGAGGAAGGTCTACGTCTGGATTGGAAGAACTAATAATGGGGTGCACTTCAACTGATATCAAAGAGGTACACAATAGTCACCAACTTTTTTACCGTATCAATATTCTTTCGTGTCATATTACTAAAAACTATGCAAGAAAAAAGGAAAAAAAAAAAAAAAGATAGTACGGTTGGAAAGGAGAAGAAAGATATATCCTGCTTCTTTTATTTGTCAGAGTATTATTTTTCTTTTTCTCTTTACCTCTTTGTGCTTTGCCATTTTCCTGCTTTTTTAAATTTTATTTTCAAGCATCATATCAAACTCAGAAAAACTATAGAAAATTATTAGTACTACAGCGAGGGATACACATCCAAACCTTGTAAATTTTAATCAATTCTCAGTTTTGGTAATACTCAATTATTTTCGTTTTCTTGAGCCGAGGGTCTTTCGGAACAGCCCCTCTACCCCGATGTAGGGGTAAGGTCTGCGTACACACTACCCTCCTCAGACTCTACTAGTGAGATTTCACTAGGTCGTCGTCGTTGTTGGTAATACTCATTTGGTTCTTGCATGCATGGGATTCTGCAGTCAAAAGGTGACTATGATCAAAGCCCTTTTCTTGTGGTATTTTTCTTTTAAGGAGAAACTTATGGAAAAGAAAGGAGAGTTTCCTCTCTCCTATCCACATTCCCTTTCCACCTCTTTAACCTCCTCACTAGGGGTGGCAAATGGGCGGGTCGGGTTGGATATGAGCGGGTCAAAATGCGTAATTTAAAAAATGGATAAATTATCCGACCCGACCCGTATTTGAGACTGATAAAAACGGGTTTATTCGGCGGATAATATGGATATCCATATTATCCATGGCTTCTTAAATATGATCATTTATGAGAGAATTCCTAGTCTTCCAAACTTGAGGAACTCCAATTTAAGGCTTTACAAATGTAAAAGTTAAACACATTAGTTATCCATTTGGTTAACCATTTTTTAAGTGTAATATGGTGCTTTATCCATATTCGACCCGTTTTTAAATGGTTCATTATCCAACCCATTTTTTGATGGATAATATAGGTGGATAACTGTTTTCTTTTAACCATTTTGCCACCTCTAATCCCATAGTCTTCTCACGTAGTACCAATTTCTTCTCTCCAATAATTTCTTAGTTACTTTCTTTACGTTTTGTATCTTTCGGTCTTCTTTTATTCGTCGTTTTCTTTCCCCATTCGGTGCTCTCCATTCATAGTAGGACAATCATAGGAATTTCATGTTGGATAAGCGTAATTCCTTCGTCTTTTGCTTTACTTTTGGTTCAAAACTTGTCGTGACGTTTATTTTTCAAGGATTTAGTTTGACCTGGTCAAAATTCAGCTTCGACTAACTAGTTCTTATGTAAAATTTGAAAAGTCCTCATGATATACAAATGTTTTCATTATCTAAGATAGAAATTAGGAAATTGCATGCTGTTCCTGGATAAACTGAATAATTTGAAGGGAAGATTAATTCCAACGTAATTAGGTTGCTCTAGAATAATTTACTATCAGAGAAGTCGTGGCTTAAGACTATCTGATTGATGGAGCTAACTGTTGCCAATACTATGAAAAACTTACCGAAGGTGACTAACTGTGACAATTTGTTGAATTTGATATTCTCAAAATGAACTTGCTACCAGACCTGATATAAATCTAAATTCTCAAGCTGTTAATTATGGATTGCGACAAAAGCTTCCTTAATTTCCGCAACTTTGAAGAATCATAGAAGTTGGGGGAAAAAAGAAGAGAAAATAGATAATACTAACGAGGTAAAAACGCTGATAACGAATTTCTCTAGGGAAAAAAAAACAAAGAAGAAAAATATGATTTTCCTGCATTACAATTGTTCCTAATTGGGGTAAGGGAAAGCGTAGAGGAAAAGCAAGATAGTGACAACAAAGACTTTTATGTATATGTAGTTATGTTATGCATGTGTGCATGAGTGTCTGTGTCAGTGAGTGCCTTCTTAGAATATATAGAGACACATTTTGACAGAAAGGGCAGAAAAAGAAATATTTCTTGAGGTGTGTACTGTGCAAATGCAATTCCAAATTTTACAAGAGCTTTAACCCTTATATCTTGATGTCACTTTTTTTTTGTTTGTAAGAATTAGCCTAAATAGGTGGGGTCTATCGGAAATAGTCTCTTTATTCCTCCGGGGTAGGTGTAAGGTTTGCGTACACTATCCTCCTAGGCTCCATTTGTGAGATTTTACTAGGTTGTTGTTGTTGTAGCCTAAATAGTTGTCCATAAATATATAATATATCTATAATTCATGTATAATGTGTGTATAATCTATGTTAACCTACAGTTAGGAATACTAAACTATGAGTCCGGACGGCTATTTATGTAAAGATTTTTGTTGCAGGAGTCATCCCTCACAAATCCTCAAGAAGCAGATTGGTTGAAGTACTCTTCATTCTGGCCTGATCCTAAAAACACAGACCATCATGAGTAGGAGAAATATATATACCGAAAAAGAAAGCAAAAGAATAAAAGAAGAGAAGATGAAGTAGAAAATTCTAAGGGGACAAAAATCTTTATCATCACGGTTAATACTAATTCAAGCCTTGCTGAAGTTGTTTTTCAAAAAGTGGCCAAACGGGACAACTGTTGGGATTTTAATTTTTAACCTTTTCCTATCGTTTTTCTTACTGAATGACTGGCCAAAGGTAAGGACCAACTGAACTAACTGTTCGAGGAAAAGAAGAAGAGGAAGAATAGAAAAGGAAAAGAAAGGAAGACACAAACAAAGAGAAAAAAAAAAGAAAGAAGACAAGAAAGGCTGCACTGATTCTGACAAAATACAAGAGGGGAACCAAAGACCCAAAGCAAATCCAACTGCCATCAAAATCATCATCATTATGATTACCATATTATCTTTATTTGCCCATTTTATTAATATTTCTTTATTTTATTCTTCTTTTTCCTTGTATATTTCTTTTTCATTTAACAAATATTTGTGCAAAAGTGCATACAGAGCTTTGTTTACTGTGTCTTTGAACAGTCACTTTTAGAGTAGAATACTTGTTCATGTTGGGACACAAATATATTTCCCTTTATAGAAATGAGATGTGACATTGATTTATAAATGCAGTGATGCCTTAATTGTATTTCACACAACTTTGTTAATGAGAATTATTTTTTTAAATTTAGTTAAAGAGTCTCAGAAGGTAAAGCTGCTTCTGGCTAGAGCTTAGTTGGTAGCCAATCTGCTAAAGCTAATACTTAGTGTTTACGTAACCTTTTTCTCTAAACGTCCATTGGCTCTCGTTCATGTTAGGTTTTGCCTTTGAATTCTATCTTGGTCCTATCTTTGAGACCTAAAAATTGATAAACAAAGAACTACTGCACCCAATTTGTGTGATGTTATTTGACTCGGCGTGGTGTTAAAAAGGAAAGAAAGAAAAAATAAAGATTTTTAAACTTGTGATTTAAAACAAGCTACATAAGTTTGTATGATTATAAATATTTTCATCAAGGTAAAATGAGAGGTTTAAAATTAAATTATTTTTAAATATAAATAGGTATCATTTTCTTGGACAGATAAAAAAGAAAAGATTATTACATAAATTTAAACAGAGACGATAGTAGTTTATTTACTTGTATATATATTGGAAAACAAGAAGAACTTCAGTGCAAAGAACTTCATATTTACAGTAAGTACTAATATTATTAGGTTGTCGGAAGCTGATTGACTAATTAAGAGACTCGTGATGTAGTAGCGTAGCCACCCTATACCAAGCTAGCGTTTGGACATAGATTTAGTTGAAACTTGAAAAAATAATTTTTGAAGTAGTTTTGAAAAATAATTTTTGGAAGTTGAAATTATGTTTGGACATGCCTTTTATTTGAAAAAAATTTAAAGTTTTGTGAGTGGGAAAACAAGTTTCACCCAAAATCTACCCTAAACTAGATTTTGGGAACTTGAAAAATAATTTCAGAAATTTTTCAAAAATAGATTATTAATCTATGAACAAACAATATTTTCAAAAAAGATTTGAAAAAACGGTGCCAAAATATATGGCCAAACGGGGCCCAAGGGTTGTCAAATGCACATCCTTCATCGAAGAATTATATATATATATATATATATATATATATATATATATATATATATATATATATATATATAT